TGTATTGTTTGGTTGTATATATCTATTAGTGTATATGAATTTGTATTGATTCAATACATGAGGTTACAATAGGAATATTAAAATGTGTATAGTACCATGGTTAGTTTACCAATTACCCTATAATATGTTGACATAGAGTGCAAATACTCTAAAATCAAATAAAGAGAATTTTAGAAACGCGTATTTTTTGACCAAATAAAAAAGAAACGCGTATTTATGTGTGCGGTAACGACTGCTCGTGGCTGAGCTGGCACTCTAATGATATAAAGCGAAAGTGTGGAGCCCATTTTGATTTTGTTAATCATGGGCCTTTGTTTTAGTTGTACTCATATGGGCCCAAATATAGTGAGCCTTATATAACGTACAACCATATCCGTCTGTAAGTCTGTTTATGGAAATATGTTAGTAGTGTTACGGTTTATAGATTTTTTCTGATCGGAGCTGGCAAAATTCTTCTCGGAAAGTTCGTAATTGTTGTTAATTATTGGTCCTTTTCACCTTACTCACTGAGCAATGAAGAAGTCAGGGATGATGAACTAAGCTTAAGCAAATGTCATTGCACAAAGAAAGAGAATTTTAGAAACGCGTGATTGATGAGTTGTAGTTTCTTAAACTCTAGTTTTTTTTTTTTTGCTTTCTGTAGAACTGGTCAAATCTTTTAGATTGTTGTGGAAGCATGTCTTGTAGTATCTCAAAAGAAAACCCAAAAACAATTTCTTTCCTAAACACACACCAATGGAGGCTTCCTCCTCCTCTTCTAAGGTCAAAGCACTCCCCTTGCCGCCGCAGCATCAAGTATTTGTAAACTTCCAGGGAGAAGAGTTGCGGAACAACTTCGTTAGCCATCTCAGAAATGCATTTTTCAGGGATGGGGTTAACATCTTCATAGACACTAATGAGCAGAAAGGCAAACCTTTGAATGTGCTTTTCGATAGGATTGAAGAGTCGAGGATCGCTTTGGCCATCTTTTCTGAAAGGTATAGCGAGTCAAAATGGTGCTTGAACGAGCTGGTGAAGATGAAGGAATGCATGGACAAGGGTAAACTCCTCATCATTCCTATCTTCTATAAGGTTAAGCCATATGAAGTGCGATATAAGAAGGGACAGTTCGGTTCTGTTTTCAAAAAGATGAGCAATCTTGATCTTGACGAGAAGAAACAATGGTCTGAAGCTTTGAGGATTGTTGCTGACTAGATCGGCTTCTGCTTCGAGGGAAAGAGGTACCATTTCTTCAGTTTCCTGTAATTTAGTTTATCGAGAGGAATGGATTTGAGATTTTTATTCAGAGTTTGACCTTCAATAGTCTCAAGGATTTGCTTTAGCTTTAGATTTTTATTTGTTTTCATCAACGATATTGTTGAAGAGGTTAAGCAAGCGCTGAGCAAAATTCCGTTAGATGAAACCAAAGACACTTTTGTCAATCTTTCGAAAAACCCTTCAGGTGAGGTTTATGGACTCAAACAACGGCTATATGAGTTGATGTATGAATTCGCATAGATATGCAGTTTATGTCCGTCTTGTAACCGTGGCCGATAGTTGGTGAATGAATAAATCGTTTTCCGGGCCTTATATAACGTACAACCATATATATCCGTATGTTTATTTCATAAGAAAACCTTCAATAAAATATTGGTAAATGCAAATGTCAAATTTCTTTGGTTCTAGTTTTAACCAC